AACGTTGTTGGAGGATGGATGGAATAGAGCTTCAACGATCATATCCAAAGGAGGTTGGCGGAATGTCGGTGAAGCCTTGCTATTCAAAGTTCAAGATCCAAGTTCAAGCTTCATCCGCGAGATTACCAAGTCAAGCTTATTGAAGATCAAGATCGGCTTGGGTAATATATATATATATATATATATATATATATATAAGTTTTGGTTTCTATGCATATATATAGTTATATATATACATACATAGTTTTTGAGTTTTCATGTTTATAATATGAAATCACATATTTCATATTTACCATTGTGTTTTTGATAACATTGCATAGAATATGCAATTTTGTGAAAATATTGTATTCTTAGTTTGTAGACTTGAATATTAGTTTATACATGTTTTACTAAGTCTATAAAAGCATTTCACAAAGTTTCAAACGTTGGTTTATGTCAAAACATCAAAATTCAAGTACATCATATTTTCATGTTTTGGACTAGTTTGTAAAATAATGATATTTTTCATTTGGGAAGTCCTTTTTTGAAACCAGTCATTGTAGCATGTTTATTATCATGTCTACAATCATTCCCCAAAGTTTTACATTTTTTGGAATTTATTTGATATTTTTAAACAGGGTTTTAAAATCAGCTCTAAAACCGATTTTTTCTGGAATGTCAGTTTTCGGTCGACCGGTACGGTCGACCGGTCAATTGACCATTCGTCAGTATTTTTCCAGAGAGTCGTCGGTCGACCGGTCCGGTCGACCGAGAGCTCAAATCGGTCGACCGACAGAATTTCCGGTCGACCGACGTTAGTCCAGAAAGTTTTCTTCGTGTTTTTGCTCTCATCGGTCGACCGACGGGATTTTCGGTCGACCGACAATATGACCGTTGGACTTCTAACGGCTATTTCTGAGCTGTTTCTCTGGGGGCTGTTTTGTCATTTGTTTTTGGGGTTTTTGCTGAGATTTCTTGTGGTATATATACCCCATTGCTGATGTCTTTTCAAACCAACTAAGAGAGTTTTTAATCAAGTTTAATAAAGTTTTTAACAAGGGTTTTAGTTTGGTTTAAGTGTGTTTAAAAGGCTTTTAAGCAAATTGAGAGTTTGTTTTGGTGAATCAAATTCCACAAGAGCTTGAGGATATTGTCTATTGAAGTTTGAGCTTCCAACTATCATCCCTCCATCTCTTGTTATCAAATTGAAAAGTTTTCTAAACTCAAACTCTAGCTTTACATTTATATACTTGATTGATTATCATTGTTCTTAAGCTAGATTTCATACTTGAGTTTAGTTGATTTGATCTTATTTACTCATTGTTACACACACACCCACATTGAGCTTATTGTATCTTTCATACATAGTATAGTTGGGTGGTGAGAGATTGTAACTTTGAGTTGTGCTTTCATTGTGTTCTCATCTATTGTAGAGAACAAATTTATATTTGTTACATTGTGAGTGTTGTAAGGTTTTCGGTGAGCTAGAAACCGAGTGTGTAGTGAGGTTTTCGGTGAGCTAGAAACCGAGTGTGAGGAGTGACGTTGATCGGTGAGCGTTGAAAACCGATACTGTGAGGTGTAAACGTTATTCGGGTGAACGTAGAAAACCCGGTTGATAGTGGATTTCTCCCCGGGAGTGGGGAGCGGAGACGTAGGACGGAAGGTCCGAACTCCGTGATCATATTGCTTGTTTGAGTGTGCTTTGGCGTTCATTCATATTTATGTTCATATCTTATATCGCCATTGTCATTAGCTCATTATCTATATCATCCACTATCTTGTTTAGATTGTTTACCCCTTGTGTTAGTTTACATATCCTATACATATATCATATTGTATATCTCTTTGATAGGATATATCATCTTGTGTTAGCTCATATATCCTTGCATATATCTCATAGTATATCTCATTGCTAGGATATTTACCTTTGTTCATTTTGCTTATTCTTGCACATAACTCTTGTATATCTATCTTGCAAGAATATACTTGTTAATTAATTTTAATTGGCATTTAATCGGATTAGATTAGCATAAGACCCTAATCACCCCCCCTCTAGGGTCTAACAATTGGTATCAGAGCTTGGTGCTCTTTGATTTAAGGTCTAATCGCCTTGAGTTAAAGATCCAAGTTATCTTTTTGTGCTAATCTTGTTTTGATTGCATTTGCATCTTGCTTGCATATTTTTACAAATTATGAATATGAATGATGCATCTTGTTTAGGCTATGATTCTAGTGTTGCTCCTAGATTAGACAATTTCCCCTATGCCCAATGGTGTGTTAGATTTAAACTATTTGTTAGATCTAAACATTTTGATTTATGGGAAATTATAGATGATGCTTATATTGTGCCCATTTTGGAGAAATCCAAGTGGAATAAAAATGATCATCGCATGTTTACTATGAACAACATTTTGTTAGAATATTTGTTAAATGCTTTTAACTCATCTATGTCTAACAAGTTTGTTCATTTTGATAGTGCTTACACCTTATGGATATTTATAGAAGCACATCAAGGAGACTTGGAGGCGATCCGACAAGCTTTGGAGGATCCCGCTTCAAGTTCATGTGGAGCATCATGCACACGGCCACTAGGCGATAGCCCTAGTGAGGTTTGCGAGTTCAAATCTATTAATGATTTACCTAATGATGAACTTGCTTGTGCTAGTGAAAAATTATTACATGCCTTTAACAAATTGCAAAATGATTTCATTAATTTACAAAGCAAGCATGAAATTTTGAAATCCGATCATGAGTTGTTAGCATCTAAGTTTGAAACTATTTCTAATGAAAATGTGATCCTTAAAGAAAACAATGAAAAATTAAAATTGGATCATGTTTCTTTAACTTCAAACTATACAAGGATATATAAACTAACACAAGGGTAAACAATATGAACTAGATAGTGGATCATATAAATAATGAGCTAATGACAATGTCGACAAGAATTATAAACACAAGTATAAATAAACGCCAAAGCACACTCAAACACAAGATATGATCACGGAGTTCGGACCTTCCGTCCTACGTCTCCGCTCCCCACTCCCGGGGAGAAATTGATAAACACAAATATTCTCTATAATTTGACTATATTTCACCTATGGATTTGTTGTTATTTGATGTATTTCCTTGCACTTTTGCCCTGTTAAGCTCCCTAGTTCTTGTTTACTGCTCTATTTATATATTGTGTAGGAATTACTGGAGTTTAGCGCGGATTCGGAGTCAAGAAGGAGTCAAGGAATGCAAGGAAAGTGGCTACACGGTCACCTAGTGTTCAACAACACAGGCGTGTTGATTATAGAAGAAAATCCCAGAAAGCAGAGCGAAATAGAGTTAAACACGGCCTGGTCATGTCGATCTACACAGCCGTGTTGGATGATAGCAGTCAGTTATCATGCGATCTGGAGCATTATTTGAAGTTATCTTTCAACACGTTTTTGTAAAAAAATTAAAAGGAGACGCTCTGAAGCATCAGAGAAACCTAGAGGCTGGAGATCTGGATATTTCTTTCTTCTTCTTCTCTTCTTCTCTCTACAAAAACTCTTAGATTAGGTTTTTCTTTTGCTTTGGAACCTACTGTTTGTGGAGAATTGTGTGCAACTTCAACACTACGGTTTCTCTTTCTGATCTATTTCAATTTCTAGTTTATGATTATGATCTTATATATTGTTATCATGTTTTCTATTTCAATTATGTGTGAGTAATTGTCTTATCTGGGATTAAACTAGGTTCGGCCATGGTTATGAATTAATGAACTGATTGTTATTGTTATTGATTGTTCGATTTGCATTATTCAACTGCTAGATCTAATTGCCTAGGGTTAATTCAATTGGCCACTGATTTAATTCTTTTAGGATGTTGATTTGAACTGAAAGGTTAGATTGACGCCGAAAAATAGTAATTGAACAAGAATTAATTGATCACGAAAGTAGGTTAATTATTCTTGAGAACATGAGAGATTAACAAGAACTTTAATTTGGTTTAACACTATGAAAATAGGTTGTTAGGCTGAATTAAGCACGACTTTTAGTCGTCGAAAGAGACTAATAGTTATCATAGGTTAGTCGTTCTTAATGCATTGAGAGATTCGATAACAATTGATTAATTTATTGATTCGAACCAGAGTTGAAACCGAAGTTCAATCCTAGATCCTTTTAATTGAGTGAATTCGTCGTTGATACTAGCTAGCGTGTTCGTTATTGATAGTCAAAAATCATACTTTTTAACACGATTGGTTTAGATAGTCACAAAATAGTGAAAATCAGTAATTAACAACGAAGTCCCTGAGGATACGACCTTGCATCGCTATAACGATATCCGTGCACTTGCGGATTTGAGTGAAAAGAAATCCACTATCACAACCGGGTTTTCTACGTTCACCCGAATAACGTTTACACCTCACAGTATTGGTTTTCAACGCTCACCGATCAACGTCACTCCTCACAATCGGTTTTCTAGTTCATCGAAAACTTCTAGAAAACCAATGCAATCAAGACCGATCCTTGAAGGAGTTTGCATCACCAACCACCCATAGCTCCCAATCTAGCATCTTGAAGCCTAATGTTGCTGCCAACAATTTTGAACTCAAGCCTTCACTCCTCTCCATGGTTCAGCAAAACCAATTTGGAGGCACTCCAACCAAAGACCCAAACCTCCACATCTCAATCTTTCTAGAGTATTATGACACATTGAAGATGAATGGAGTGTCAGGTGATGCAATCAAGCTAAGGTTGTTTCCCTTCTCACTAAGAGACAAGGCAAGGGCTTGGCTGCAATCACTTCCACCGGGCTCCATCACTACATGAGACCAACTCTCAGAAGCGTTCCTTGCTAAGTACTTCCCTCCGAGCAAAACAGCCTAATTGAGAAATCAGATAACAACCTTCACTCAAAAAGAAGGGGAGTCATTGTATGATGCATGGGAGAGGTACAAGGATCTTCTAAGGATCTGTCCACATCACGGGTTAGAGGATTGGCTCATAATTCACACCTTCTACAATGGTCTTCTCTACAACACAAGGATGACCGTGGATGCAGCAGCGGGTGGTGCATTGATGAACAAAAGTGTACGAGATGCAAAACAACTCATAGAGGATATGGCACAGAATCATTTCCAGTGGTCAGATGAGCGCTCTTTATCCAAAAAGAGCGGGAGGTATGTTGTAGATGCATTAGACCACATTGCTTCTAGAGTAGATGCTTTATTTCAAAAATTTGACAAGATGAGCATGAATTCAGTAGCATCTAACTCTACTAACTGTGAAATATGTGGTATCATTGGACATTCTGCTGTGGAATGTCAAATTGGAAACTCCCCTTCCCCTGATGCACCATTATCTGAACATGTTAATTATATGAATAATTTTAATCAGAAAGGGGACCCTTTTTCCAATACATACAACCCGGGGTGGAGAAATCATCCTAATTTATCCTATAAAAATCCACCCCTGAACCCAATTCCTCACTCAAATTTTCGACCTCCAGGTTTTCAAACCCCTAGACTCCCTTACCCTAGTCCCCAAAAGTCCAACTTAGAAAGCTTGATGGAAAATTTCGTGACATCCCAGAATAAGCAAAATGAAGAATTTAGAAATCAGAATAGGATCATGAATGATGCCATTAAGAACCTAGCCTCTAAAGTTGACTCCTTAGCCACCCACAACAAAATGCTAGAGAGTCAGGTCACTCAACTAGCCCAACAATTTAACTCTTCTTCTAGGTCTTTGGGTATGTTTCCTGGACAACCTAAAACCAACCCCAAGGAATCTATCAATGCCATTACACTTAGGAGTGGAAAAGAGCTAGAGACACCAATGATGAGGAGTGATCATAGGGATGTGGGTGATGAGAGTGAGAAGTTGGTGACAAGTGAGAAAGAGCATATTGGTGAGAAAGGGGAGAAGGTTGAGAGATATGTAGCACCTGCACCTTATAAGCCTCCACTACCCTTCCCTCAAAGGCAAGTTAAAGCTAAGTTGGAAAAACAGTTTGGGAAATTCATAGAAATATTAAAAAAATTGCATATTAACATCCCATTTGTTGAAGCCATTTCCCAAATGCCATCCTATGCCAAATTCTTAAAGGAGATTCTATCAAATAAGAGGCGATTAGAGGAATATGAGACTGTAGCCTTGACCCAAGAGTGTAGTGACATCATACAAAATAAGCTACCACCTAAGCTTAAAGATCCTGGCTCATTTTCAATCCCTTGCACAATTGGTGATATGTCAATTAATCGTGCTCTATGTGATCTCGGTGCTAGTGTCAGTCTTATGCCATTGTCTATATGTAACAAGTTACAGATGGGAGACTTGAAGCCTACTACTATCTCCCTCCAATTGGCGGATCGATCGGTTAAACGTCCGGTAGGTATATTAGAGGATGTACCCATCCAGGTTGGTAAATTCTTTATTCCAGTTGATTTTGTTATTCTTGAAATAGAGGAGGATTCTCAAATCCCTATTATATTGGGAAGACTTTTCCTTGCTACCGCTGGAGCGATAATTGATGTGAAGAATGGAAAGCTCTCTCTCAATATAGGGGATGAAAAGGTGAATTTTGATTTGTTTTCTGCTATGAAGTTTCCACTAATTGATGATACTTGTTGCAGGATTGACACGATTGACATGGTGGTTAGAGAAGATTTTACCAGAGATATCTCAAGTGATCCACTTGAGAAATGTTTAGTAAAGAATGGGGTACCAGATGATGATGATCAGGAAATAACTTCCTATGTTACAATGCTTGATGAAAAGCCAACCTACACCAAAACCACCTACATCAAAGAACCTGATATAGTGGTCAAAATTGCAAGGGGGCTGAATGACCAGGTTGTGTCTGTAAACACAGATGTGTCAAAAAGCAGCAGAAACAGCCCAGAACAGGTTTGTGAAGAGAAAACTGCACCTGGGAAAATGCTGAATAATGATTCCACACGGCCATGGTGTGTCCGTAGACACAGTCGTGTCAAAAAGCAGTAGAAGAAGTCTAGAACCAGTCCATCTCCACCAGTTGAAGTGGAACATAAGGCACATTGGGCTAACAAGAGCATTCATTTAGATTTGAAAGAATCAGGGGAACAGAGAAAGCTTCAACCAAATGAACTTGATGAATTGAGATTCGATGCGTATGAGAATGCCAAGATTTACAAAGAAAGAACAATGAAGTGGCATGATCAACATATCCTCCGTAAAGAGTTTACAGAAGGAGACTTGATACTTCTACTTAATTCCCGACTCAAGCTTTTTCCGGGAAAACTTTGTTCAAGGTGGTCTGGACCATTCCAAGTGTGCAAAATATGCCCATTTGGGGCTGTCAAAGTATGGAGTGAAGCCATGGGATCTTTCAAGGTCAATGGACAGCGATTAAAGCATTATTTCACAGGAACTCTGATCGAGAAGTTGGGTACTTTTACCCTTCCCGATTCATCATCATTGTGAGCATTGAAGGGGTCGAGCTCATGACCATAAACAAGCGCTTCTTGGGAGGCAACCCAAGTTTTTCTTTCATTTTATTTTTCCTTTTAGTGTTTTAATTATTAGTTTTCATAACATGTAATCAAGTTGCCGTGAACTGGTGTGTGTAGGCATAAAAAATGCTAATAGATATCCAAACATAGGGAAAACCACTCAAAACTGACAGATATGAACTGTCTCGCCAGTGAGACAGACTTTGCTGTCTTGCCAGCGAGACAGATTTTGCTGTCTCGCAGCGAGACAGTATTCGCTGTCTCGCCAGCGAGATAGTATTGAAATGGTCAAAACCACTTTAAGTAACTCCCACCCACGTGTCCATTAACTGCCAAGGGACGTGGAGAACATCGTGGGTGAAAATCACGTGAATAACTGCAAAAATAACGGAGTTTGAAACGTAGGAATGCAGTTAAAACGAAAACTGCCTGACGGTTACTGTTTCCGAGACAGTATTTACTGTCTCGCGGGCCGAGACAGCAAACACTGTCTCGCTAGTCTAACTTTGTCGTTTGTTGAGTTTTTTGCAGTTACAGACCCCTGAGGCTATAAATACCCCCCTAGGGTCATTTCTGACGAGGATCGAGCATATTTTCGAGCAATTCAGAGCAGAGAGAGCAGATTTAGGTTTTCGTGTAACTCCTTAAAATTGAGCTTTGACTTGATTTTAAGAAGAACGACTATCTTACTTTGATAAGATATCGTTTCAAGTTCTCACTTCGATAAACGAAGTCAGAATCAGTAAACCCCCTTCACGATCTGTGATTCGGCGGTCCACGAACCAAAGCGTTCCCGGCACAGGCAAAGTCCCACAAAAACAAGAATCGATAGACGATTTTTGTGTTATTTTCTCAAAAGTTGTAATTTTTACTTTGTTGTGTAGAAAAGGTCTTATAAAAGACTATTCATTTGAATTTGTTGTAATTGACTGAAGATATAATGAATTCCTCAACAAAACCAACTTTTGCTGAAAACAGTGTGTAGGTGAATGACAAAGGGAAAATAGGTAATAGAGAGTTCAAGGCTAAAGAGGCAGAAGAAAAAAAATATTGAATACACAGTTTACACGGCTAGGCCGTGTCCACCAACACAGCCGTGTAGCAGTCGGGACAGTCTTCATCTCATTTCCAGAGTCTACCACACCCTGGGAAGGCATCCACCACACCCGTGGCCAAAGAAAAAAAAAATTCCAGACTCATTTTGCCCCACACCCCCCTTCTTTTTCGTTCTAGACCCCCCTCCTTCCACCTTCTTTGACCTAACCCATCAACCCCCCCTACAAACCACCACCGACTGACCACCCCACCTCTTCGAGCAAACAGCCGCATCCCTTCCCTTCACCACCCTAAACCACTGTCCTCTTTCATCCTTCACCATCAAAATCACCGACTAACAACTTCCCCAAAACCACTTCCCTCCCCAACTTTGATTCCACCACTCAACACTTCCGCCTCTCTCTCTCATTCATCACATCCAACACCACCAAATCGCCAGGCGTGCCTCCAGCGCCAAGACACCGCCCTTGTCGTTACGCCCAGATCAACGCCAACATTCATAGACCAAATTCTTTCATTCATCTGAAACTTCCAGATCTGTTCTCATCATGGACACCCGCTTGGACAATTTTGGCAATACACTTGGAACAATGAATGACCAGAAGCAACATATGCACCAATGGTCACTACTTCATGGCTATCCACCTCCTCCACCACCACAATGAGCAGTAAGTCCCTTTTCTCCTTTTTTTCAGTTATTTACACATTGGGGACAATGTGCAATTCAAGCATGGTGGAGTGGGTTTGTTGGGATGATGTTTCATGTATGCTTTGGTGTTTTTGAGTGCTTGTTTTCTGTGTTGGGATTTTTCATTTAGCTTTAAAAAAAAGGAGTACCACTGTTCAGCAAAACCTTTTAGCATGTACATCATTTATTGCACATGCCCCATTGTTAAAAAAAATCTTTGTTTCATGTTCAGTTGGTTATGATGTTATCTATTTGAGTTCCACTTTGTCGATACTTAACTCTAAACATTGGAGAGATAGGAATGGATTTTGGCTCAACCCATCTAATTAAAACTTAAGCTTCTTTGGTGACTTGGAATACTTTTTGGTTACTGGAGAAACACTCGGCCTTGTAAAAAAAAAGTCCTAAAGTCTGTTGCACCGAGTACCTGGCACCGCACCCTCATAAGTATGGTTGTCACGTCAGTAGGTGTTAATTATGACAGGATTTTCAAAAAAATGAAAAAAAATTTGAATAAAATGCAAGGAAACCGAGTGCTCCTTTGAGACCTTAAGTAGGAAGAGTATGACCCATTGTGATGAGATATGTGTCTGTCATGGGGAGTTTTGGGTAATCAAAAAAAAAAATTAACTTTGTCATGCCATTTCTTTTTCCAATGTTTATGAGTTGAGTCACTTGCACTAACGTACGTGAATGCCTACAGATACATTTTCTTCAACTTTGAACTTGAAACAAGATTTCTGTTTTGACATGGGGTTGTGTGGAATAATGTTGCATGTGAACTTGAGAATAGTGGATACCTTTGTGCTTAATTTCTATTTTCTTTGAATCTGTACCCTCTCATGTGTGTGTTTCCATCTGTTTTGCTTGAGGACAAGCAATAGTTCAAGCATGGGGGAGTTGATAAACACAAATATTCTCTATAATTTGACTATATTTCACCTATGGATTTGTTGTAATTTGATGTATTTCCTTGCACTTTTGCCCTGTTAAGCTCCCTAGTTCTTGTTTACTGCTCTATTTATATATTGTGTAGGAATTACTGGAGTTTAGCGCGGATTCGGAGTCAAGAAGGAGTCAAGGAATGCAAGGAAAGTTAGAGCTTAGCGCGGATTCGGAGTCAAGAAGGAGTCAAGGAATGCAAGGAAAGTGGCTACACGGTCACCCAGTGTTCAACAACACAGGCATGTTGATTACAGAAGAAAAGCCCAGAAAGCAGAGCGAAACAAAGTTAAACACGGCCTGGTCATGTCGATCTACATAGCCGTGTTGGATGACAGCAGTCAGTTATCATGCGATCTGGAGCATTATTTGAAGTTATCTTTCAACACGTTTTTGTAAAAGAATTAAAAGGATACGCCCTGAAGCATCAGAGAAACCTAGAGGCTGGAGATCTGGATATTTCTTTCTTCTTCTTCTCTTCTTCTCTCTACAAAAACTCTTAGATTAGGTTTTTCTTTTGCTTTGGAACCTGCTGTTTGTGGAGAATTGTGTGCAACTTCAACACTACGGTTTCTCTTTCTGATCTATTTCAATTTCTAGTTTATGATTATGATCTTATACATTGTTATCATGTTTTCTATTTCAATTATGTGTGAGTAATTGTCTTATCTGGGATTGAACTAGGTTCGGCCATGGTTATGAATTAATGAACTGATTGTTGTTGTTATTGATTGTTCGATTTGCATTATTCAACTGCTAGATCTAATTGCCTAGGGTTAATTCAATTGGCCACTGATTTAATTCTTTTAGGATGTTGATTTGAACTTAAAAGGTTAGATTAACGCCGGAAAATAGTAATTGAACAAGAATTAATTGATCACGAAAGTAGGTTAATTATTCCTTGAGAACATGAGGGATTAACAAGAACTTAATGGATTTAATTTGGTTTAGCACCATGAAAATAGGTTGCTTAGGCTGAATTAGGCACGACTTTTAGTTGTCGAAAGAGACTAATAGTTATCATAGGTTAGTCGTTCTTTGGTTTTCAACGCTCACCGATCAACGTCACTCCTCACAATCGATTTTCTAGTTCATCGAAAACTTCACAACACACTCGGTTTTCTAGCTCACCGAAAACCTTACAACACTCACAATGTAACAAATATAAATTTGTTCTCTATAATAGATGAGAACACAATTAAGCACAACTCAATATTGCAATCTCTTACAACCCTAATATACTATGTATGTAAATACAATAAGCTCAAGTGGGTGTGTGTAACAATGAGATAAAATCAAATCAACTAAACTCAATATAAAACTAGCTTTAATAGAAATGATAATTGACAAATAATAAATAAAATCTAGAGTAGAGTTTAGAAAACTTCTCAATGGAAGACAAGATGGAGAGATGGGGATTGGAGCCCAAACAAGAAGATGATCTCCTCCACTTGTGAAAACTTCTTCACAAACAAAACAAACCCTTAAACACACTTAAATCCTTGTTTAAAACTTGTTTAAAAACTTCTTGGCTTAATTGAAAAAGAACAGCAATAGAGTATTTATACCCACTTGAAATCTCAGCCAAAACTCCCAAAACAAAAGACCAAAAACCCCAACCAACGGTAACAAAACAAGTCGTTGGAAACAGTCAGACTGAGCGGCGGTCGACCGGAAATTCTTGCGGTCGACCGCGATCTAGGTTCCAGTCTGAGAATCGAGCAGGAACTTCGTCGGTCGACCGGTGCGGTCGACCGACCAACTCTCTGCTGCATGGTGACGAAAGAACAAATGATCGGTCGACCGGTGTGGTCGACCGAGAACTG